CTTTGTTATTTATCTATTCAATCTATCTATCTGTTTATTTATTCATTCATTTATTGACAAAATTGGAGCATCCTAGCCAAAAACAGTAGTATAAAGAACATAAACTGTGAATAGAAGAGGGTAAGAACGCCATATGGCAAAAGTTGATTATTCATCTTATTGAGAAAATAATTAAAAATGCTTAAAAACCAATTAGACACTGCAAATTCTGTAGGAAAAAAATGCGATCTTTAAAGCATAATTCAAACTAATCTATCATACTAACCTTTGACGTTAGTCTCCTCTGTAAATCCGAATAATCCCGGACGAGTTCGTCCGCCTCAGTTCTTAACTCGTCCATTTTTGCTGAGGTCAGAGGACTGTCTGATTGTGCTACTACCACCACAACGAATGTGAGTAGTATGAAGAGGTAGATCATAGTCTAAAAATTCCAGCAAAATCAATCAATACTCAAGCGTTGCATAGGTAAGCGTATAGCGCTTCCCTAACTGCGGAAATGGGGAAAATGCAATGTTTATCGTGACAAGTGAGGTAATGATTAGGTATCCTTTGCGCCGCCCCATCTTTTCGAGAAGTATGAACTTTATGGCATTGGCATTTATTGGCCATTGACTTCCACAACAAGGTTAGGCTAGGTGCAACCCACAAAGACAAACCAGTTTTTTTTTGAGTTGAAGAAAGAAGGTTAACTCATTATGCAGATCAGGGGGAAAAGGTCAAAATAAGGTTAGAAATACAATCGGAAATTTGTGCAAGGGAGTTTATGAGCCATAACCATAGTAAAACCTCTGAGAAGGACGAGAAGTTTTTGAAGTAGGGGGAGGTTCTATATTATCTACAGTTCAAGTCTAAAACTGCTGAAGTCTTTACAATTTAGTGTATACAGTCCGTAGCTACGAAAACGATGTTGGTGAGATTAAGTGGCCGCGCCCGACAATTATAAGTTACAGTAAACATAAATCTATTATTGTTCGAGAATAAATGGGTCACGTGTATCGCATAACTAAGCGGAAGCGACAGCTGGCGCATGTTGAGGACTTATTTCCTAAAGCTTTCTAATCTTCAGCCTTGAAATTGAGCGACAATATAGTTTGAACTGAGACGAAGATCTCATGTGGAATGCGGTCAATCAGAGGTGGCGTCGTAGAAGCGTTTTCATGGCTCGAAGATCACATTGAGGATTTTGTTGAATAAGATAGCCCTATAATATATGAGTCTGAAAGTGTAGGAATGTTTAGAGAACTGCAAGGAGTAAACGGTAATCATCATCTTTACCCTAAGCTGGTATTTTGCAGTCGCAGTGACATAGCTGTAAGCTTCTG